CAAATAGTTTTGTATCTGTTGCAAATTAAGTGTCCTTTCTAAAGGACAAACGGCAGCACGGGGAAGACCGAGCGCACTGCATCCTCAAACATCTTTGGAGCTTTAGAAGATCAAATAAAGAGCAGCTGTAATTCTGTCCCATCTGTGGCAACACAGAACCAGGCGTTGTCATGTGGAAGGAGTGAGGCCGAGGTGGTGCAGACAGGAGGCTCTTCTTACTTTGATGGGGGTGACAGACATGCGCAAGTGTAGGAAATGGGAGTGTAGGACAGGGGGCTACTGTTTCTCAGATGAAATCTACTGTCTTTCTATTTCTAATACAGTTTTATTTTAATCTACTAAGTGGGGAAGAGGATAGCAAAGAATCATTCCCTCTATTTTATTATGAATAGATCACGTAAGTGATTAGCGCACACAGTATGTAAGGGGCATCCAATCATGTAACATGAACTAAATGTACTTTAGGAAAAAAGTGAAAAGATATTATGGAGATTTACAGATTAAATACTATCAGCAATAAAAGATTTTTACTTGATTTCGAATAATATGTCAATGTATTAGATAGCGTACATGCCAAAACCCAATCTTAGTAAAAAAAAAAAAAAGAGGAGAAAAATTCCATCTCACTCCAAAAGACTCCAGAACCAAAAGGGGACATCTAAAAGTGGGAGTAACCAAGCTGAGTCACCCCAGGCTCTCAGGCTGGCACATGGGATCTCAAGGCACAAGACAGCAGTCATCAGTATAAAGCTCCAGGATGACACTTGACTGAGGCTCAGGCATCCCCGCATGCCTATGGAAGCGGCTTTCAATCTGGGAGAGTGACACAGAAAACTGATGCTACACACAAGTTTTTACAGAATTGGGAACATATTTAACTGTAACATTAAATAAGCGATGACATGGGGAAAGACTAATTTTTAAAGAAGCAAACCCGACAGGGACATGCTGAAATATAAGATGGGAACACAGAGGGCATTTCTCCCCTGGCCATCAGTGATTCCTGCAGAAGGTACTAGGAGCAGAGACATTCTTAGATGAGGATCAACTATCCTCTGGAAACAGGACATGTTCTGAGCTCTTACCCATCTGAACCACGTCCTTGACTTACGTAAGGCTGGGCGGCTGCCTCTTAGGATCCCTCAGCTGTGCCTCCAGTGTGGAGCAGCAGGGACTCCATTTGTCTCAGACATCTTTCCTGAGCCTGGGGGATAAGCTCAAACTGATTGCTGCTTCTTTTGTGTCTTGCTGTCCATTCATAAGCAATAAACTGCTTCATATAGCATTGTGAACATGTTCTGTCTCACTGGTCACAGATAAGGAGGTATCCAGGCCAGAGTTACGTACTCTGGAATAGGCTGAGCATAGACACTTTCTGAGTTCCAAAGAGATCCAGCCACTTGCTGAGATCCTATCTCAAAACAACAGCAAAACAAAAACCTTTTGTGCAATGCTCAAGGATTTAGTTTTGCTTTCACTTCAACAGACACATGACTCAACAAATGCCATGTCTGCTACTTATTAAAACCTAAAAGTGATAAGAAGTTCTAAAAGTAATATTTAAATGTGCTTTTATTCAACTGTTTTGAAAGTTTCATTTTCTTGAGCTTTTACTTATACCTTGAAAATTTTTGAGGTATGTAAAACTAATCAAGTGGCACAAAATACTCATCAACATTAGACAAAAAACAATACAATACAACTAAGGCGAAGATTCATGATAGGAAACGGACAGAAAACACCAAGCCAATGCAAGAATGAACAGAATACAAAACTCCAGTGCAGTGGGGAAAGCACACCAGAAATCTGAGCACAGAGCTCAGCTGGAGACCACTGCACCCAGGAGCTTAGCTCCAGGCTGGCCTGGGCAGCACAAGTATGACTGTCTCCAGGACAACCTAACCCCTCTGTTCCAAAGGAAAACCCAGGTCCTATGTCATCGTGAATGAGAAGAATCAAGGAGAGAGAAGCAGCATGGAAAAACACTGGAGGGAGGTGAGCTATAACCACTGTAGGGCAGAATCCAGAAGAACTTGTCAAATGAACACCCGAGGGGGATGCTGGGAGGAACACTTCCTCATCCCTCACCGGGACACATCTGCAGTGTGGTAGGATGCTCTGAGAAGCAACAGGAAGCAACAAAATGACAGGCACATTAGAAGAACACCATCAATGATACTGACGACCAGTGAATCTATGATTTCATTACAGTAGGTACTAATTCGGCCTGTTGCTCTTTTATTAGTGGCCACTGGGATATGACAGGATGACATATGACAAGCACTGCTGCTCCAAGTAAGCAGGGCAGAACACCTGAAGCACTGAGGGAAGGTAAGAACCCAGAAGTCCAGCACCCTGAGGAGCATGAACACAGGACAGCTCACAGAACATAGCCCAAATCTCCTTGTAGAAATAACTGAAGCCAGGGTAGTGCTTCATGCCTCAGGTCCCAGGATTAAAGATGCAGAAGTACAGGGAACATTGTGAGTTTGAGGTCACCCTGCACTACAGTGTGGGGCCCTCTAAAAGGGAGACAGTGAGGGACTGAAACTGTTAGGATGTGGTGTGTTTAAGCAAGATCTTACAATTCTATTTTTCAATTCAGATTTTCAATTGTGTTGGGTACAGCTCCTTCTGATTCCGAGAGAAGACAATTCTGCCATACTCAGCAATATAAAGAGCACAGAATACGAATGTGAGTGAGGTGAACGGAGATGCAGGAGCCTCAAGCAGAGATGCAGAAGCCTTGCACCGATGTCCTTAGGAGCACTGGTAGATATGTGAGTAAAACTCTCTACGAAGATTCCTAACATTTCCCCAAGGTGCCCGGGCCCAAACTGTAAGTTCACAGCCGTGGCTGTGTGTTCGGCGCATCTCTGAACAATGCCCACTTTAGAGTGTGCTGCAGTCAAACACTTCAGCACTTCAGCCTTGACTCACACCTGTGAATTCATGCTTCTGTACCTGCTTGGGATGCTTTGGGAGTAAATGGTCCCATAATGCAATGACTCACTCAATACATTACAGTTCTGTTCTCTAACCTTTATGTTTTTCCCCAAGTTGAAAAAGGCAAGTGCAGTCACTCAACCAAAAGGGTTAAGAAAAGTCAAGATAATATTAAAATACTATGAAAGAAAATGGGCTTCAGGAGAGGAATGCAGAATACTATATATGAATTGGAAGGTGAAGGATTTTCATGTTGCATTTAGCAAAGATTGAGAACAAAATGTAAGCTTCCATCTTTCCTCATATTTATTTTCACGTTTCCACGTTGCCCTGCACGTAACACAGCCTGTGGCATTAATGATCAGAAGATCCAGCACAGCCACTAATCAAGACAAAGGATAAATATGAGACGATGCTCACGAAGCGCTGTCTGGAGACACGAGTGTAGAAAGTTAAAAAAAATCATTTGAAGATTGTGTTATGATATTAAGAAAATTGCCCACTAGTGCAACAAGAAGTCAGTTCATGTGAGTATTTATACCTGTTGTGCAGATAAGACAATTGTGTATTTCTAACATAGACATGTCATGTCATGTATGTATGTGAGAGAGACAATGGGACTCGGGAGAGGGGAGAGGAGGGGCTTAAACATAGAGAACTGAGGGTTCTCCAATACGTGAGCAATGGAAAGAAAGGAATGCAATTACCCCAAACTGGAAGATGGTGGGTGGGCACGAAACCCCTGAGATGGATCAGTCCCAGGAGAGCTGAGCAGCATGAGAGAAGCAGGAGGGTCTGCAGAGATACAACAATCCGTTTCTTTCCCAGGGAGCTCAAAGGAAACAGTCCCATGGAGCACAAATATGACAGGGTTATGGGGAAGCTTCTCCCTCCTTCCCACACCTCCCCTCTTATTTTATTTCTTTGTGGTTCTGGGGATGGACCCCAGGGCTCTCCTATACAGACATGCTTTACTGATGGGCTGAACACCACACCCCTCTAGGCACTCTCAAGTCAAGCCTTTTTATTTCATTTTTGCCATCCTCACAGGGTGTGGGAAGAGCCGTTCTCAGGTTGGATGGAGTCTCACTTCCACTGTTCTTCCACAAACTGAGCTTTAAGTTTCCGAGAGATACTTACTAAGCTCAAGGTATGATGGTTAATTTTGCCTCAGCCAATCAGTTTTTGCTTTTTAGTGGAACAGAAAGACTGAAAGAGAGAACTCTTTCCAGCTACTGGGGCCAACTGTGGGTTTCCTGCTGGGGAATATTATAAAAAGCTGGTCCTCTTGGTCTTGACCCTTGCACTAGCTCCTTCTCTGTTCTGAAATACCTCAGCAAAAACAACCTGACGAGAAGGGATTTATTTAGATAACAAGTCCAGGTTACAGCCCGCCAGTACTGATCAATCAAGGCAAGGCAGTAGGAACCTGAAGCAACTGGCAATGTCACAGCCAGTCAGGAGCAAAGAGGAATGCACTAATTAATACATGCATGCTTGTGCTTGATTCCTTTCTTCTTTTTCATAAAGGTGAAGTGGTTACTATCGTCTACTTTCAGTTAACTGTCTACAATCAACATAATCAAGACGATCACCATGCCCACAGACGACAACTTCCTTCCCAAGTGCCTTTAGAGTGTGCTAAGTTGATATGGCAGTCGTTCTGATCATTAGTCAAGAAAAATAGAGTATTTGTTATCTAAGTAAAAATGAAATCTTCAGAAGCACCAGATGCAAAGTTGAAAACATACTATCAAAAGTAAACTGCAAAATATCCTCTGTATTAGAAAAGAAGATAAAACAGGCAACTTACGTACCTTAAGATGAAAAAGAATCTAAACGAATTTTTGGAAAAACAACAACAGCAACAAAAAACTATCTCCTCACATTTCACCAGCTTTAAAACAATTTAACCAAAACCAAAACGGCATCTTTTTAGTCATCACTGGGAACCCTGACATGGATTCTGATAAACAGGTCATAATTCACAAGGTTTTATGGTTGTACAGAATGGCACTGAGCCCTTGAGAACACAGACCATCCTGGATGCTTACCTGCTGGCTGTTTTCACGGAGCAGCTTTTCTTGTGTCCTCTTTCCGCTCGGTTATCTCTGAGAAGCTGATGCTATACACAGTGTCAAGACAAAGTGTAAAAACAGAAATATTTCCATTATATTATTTTGCAATGAGGAAAACTGGTTGTAATTGAAGGGACACTGGCATGTCCAGGCACATAACTCTCTTGCCACTCTCTTTGCTAACGATGTCAGTGTCACTGTGCAGAAATGCTAGGGAGGGGTGGCAAGCCAGGGGGCAACCTGTCCTTGACAGCTGACTGATCTCTTGCAGGAAGGAACTCCAAGACTAGGGCTTAAGTGTGTCCCCTACTTCTATAGTCACGGTGACAATACCGTGTTGTCTAAGGCTTTGATTATTAGGCTTCCATAGTTTTGAGGCTGATATGAAAGAGTTGATACTGTTTCTTATGTACCTAAGCCTGCCATTTCAGAAAATACACCAAAAGTGGTCTCTAAGAATACTACTGCCTTATATGTATGTATGTATGCATGTATGCATGTATGTATGCATGCAGGCATTTATGTGTGTGTATCTGTATGTACATCCTCCAAATGCCTAGTCACCCATGTCACTTCATATTTGCTTTACTTTAATTAACTGGAAATAAAATAGATGTCAAAAACACTCAGCCAGTACTTTCACAATGTCACTCAAAGCTTAATTTACTTTTATAATAATGGCTATGAAGATGCAAGGCTAAACTCAAATGCAAAGCATATCAGAAATCAGCCTGAACGACATAGTAAGTTTCATAGGGACTGACACATGACAGGCATGTGCTCCAACAAACCCTAAAGCCATTTGTTTCAGTGACAGTGTCATTGAATACAAACTGCACCCTCAGACAGAGTCTGCACCCTCAGACAGAGTCTGCACCCT